TGATGCAAAGTAGATAAGAATTCCTGCCTTGGTAATGTGGTACCTGCTAGTGACCGACCGCTTGAGACGTATCTTCCTAAACCCTAAAGAAGCCACACTCATGACATGGTGGGATGATGAGCGCAAGGTGGATGATGATAAGATTGCACATCCAACTGATTGTAGTTAGTGGCAAAGGATCGATGAGAAGTACAAAGAATTCAGCGATGACCCAAGGAATATACGGTTTGGCTTGAGCACCGATGGAATGAATCCCTTAAATGAGAGGATGTGCGACCACAACACTTGGCCAGTGATCTTGACCATACGTGGTTGTGTCAGAATAGAAAGTACCTTCTCCTCACTATTCTTATTTCTGGTCCTAAACAACCAGGCATTGATATAGACGTGTTCCTCGAGCCTTTGATGCAAGAAATGGAGAGGCATGGAGGCATGGGGAGCCGATGTACGATGCATTCCAAAAGGAGGACTTTATATGTAGAGCAATAATATTTGTTACTACCAATGATTACCCCACGCTGTTTGCTTTGTCTAGACAGATCAAAGGAAAGACGGGATGCTTAGTTTGCTTGGATGGTACTACATGGGTGTTCCTGGTTGCATCCAAGAAGATGGTTTACCTAAGGAACCGGTGCTTCTTAAATACAAGTCACAAGTACCGCAGCAAATTGTTCTTTAGATTTTATGACAACACTCCAGAGATTGAACCCCCTCTGGAGAGACGTCATAACAGAGAACACGTGTACAAAATGGTGAAAAACATATGCGTCATCTATGAAAAGAAGAATCCAGATGGGACGAACAGATATAGAAGCACACCTCCTGTCGAAGGTGTACCTTTCAAGAAATAATTGATCTTCTTTAAGTATCTGCCTTATTGGCCAGACTTGGAGGTCCCCCATGCCATTGATGCTATGCACGTGTAGAAGAATGTCTTTGAGAGTCTCATTGTTACCTTAATGGACACAGGAAAGTCAAAGGATGGTCTGAAATCATGGAAAGACATGGTGCAGCTAAACGTGATGCTACAACTTCACCAGGTACCTAAGGCTAATGGAAAATACACTTTGCCCGTGGCGTGCTTCAACCAAACACTAGAAGATAAGAGAGCTATATGCACTTTCCTAAGGGGGTCAAAGTTCCGACTGGGTTTTCAGCGAATGTGAAGAAGCTAGTGTCGATGAAGGACTTGTCAATAACACACTGCAAGGCTCATGATTGTCATGTGATGTTGATAGTGTTTCTACCTATTACAATCAGGGCTATAAAGCCAGAGTTCTTGAAAATGGCCAACACCCGCATGTGCTACTTCTTTTCAAAGATCTCATAGAAGAAGATTGGCAAGAAAGAGCTGAGTGACCTACATGAATTTGTGGTGGAGACACAATACCAACTAGAGATGTGTTTATCTCCTGCTTTTTTGATATAATGCCACATCTCATGATTCACATGGTTCATCAGATACAGGAGCTGGGCCCTTGCTACTTGCATGAAATGTGGTCCTACGAGCGGTTCATGTTGGTTCTAAGCCGATACATGCATAATCGAGCATACCCAGAGGGCTCCATAATAGAGGGTTACAATACTGAAGAAGTCGTCGAGTGCTGTCAAGAGTACCTAAAAGTACAGAAAGGGATTGGTAAACCCGATTCTCATCACAAGGGTAGGCTGGCTGGGAAGGGCACCAGTGGTAGAAAAGTGTTCATCAACCATGATTACACAGAAGTGAGTTGGGCGCATTACAGTGTCTTGCAGAGTACACAACTGATGCAACCGTACATTGATGAACACTTGGCTATCATTATGGCGGAGAGAAATGGTCGTTCAGATGATTAGGTCATGAAATAGCACAAGCAATGACTAACTACATGGTTGAAGGACCAAAACACACCGCCTGGAGAAACCATAGACTCTATTACCATTAGTAGATTGACGGAGGGGCCATCGAGACAAGTGACATCTTAGAAAGCTTATGACATCAATGGGTACACGTACTATACCCATGCAAAGGATAGTAAATATGTGAACCAAAACAGCGGTGTTTGAATAGATGCTCTCGATGGAGTGGGGCGAAAGATCCAATACTTTGGCATCATTGAAAAGATATGGAAACTTGACTATGGAAGGGATATAACGGTGGCCCTGTTTCGATGTCGCTGGATCAAACAACACCAACTGAACGAGATCGGATTGAGTCCTGGACCTAAAGAATCTAGGCTACCAAGATGACCCTTAGGTGCTCGCCTCACGTGTCGCACAAGTTTTCTATATGCCTGACCCACAAAGTAACCTCCCCCGAAGAAGAAGAAGACAAAGCACGTGGTTGCCTCCGGGAAATAGCGCATTATCGGAGTTGATGGCGTGGACGATGTTGAAGCTTATAATAACTACAATGAGATGTCGCTGTTCACAGACTTTCCTAAGAAGATTAGTGTTGCGGAAAAGAACCTACCCAAAGACATTACCATGGGAACGAAAAGGTGTCAAGGGAAAAGTTGTTACATTGGGCTAGCTAGTTGTTGAACGTGTAGTGTTTGTAAGACTTTATTTATACATGTGTCTGAGAGTATATATTTATGTATGTGTGTGAGACTATATATTTATGTATGTGTATGAGACTACATTTATGCATGTGTGTGAGAGTACTCTTTGCAACATCCAGATGAACCTATTGCAACATCCACTCTATTACTATTAAAACAGCTGTAACACGCAGACACTTGAAATAGACACTTATTACTACTGCAACATGTTCGGACTACTATTAAAACACTTAAAACAAGCACTTAACACTTTATGAAATGAAGAAATGACCAAAATAAAAATTGAAGATCTTGACGAGTTATACAACTTTTATATTCATCATTTTTACAGCTGAAATCATTTAGTGGATGAAAATCAGGTTTGAAGTTGTCATTTTCTGAAATTCAAAATTTGAATTGTCCAAAATTAGTGACAAAAATAGATGACCAGAATAAAATGATAGAGCATGATTTTAGAAAATTTTAGAAAAAAAACCATCACATTTGGAATACCATGTGCTTTGTTTTCTGTGAGATATATATGTTATGGTTGAATTTGAATTTTTTTTTGCGAAAAAATATACTATAGAGACTGAACCGCCCCTACAAACAGGTATTATAGGGGCGGCTAGCACTACGGCTGCCCCTACAAATTGATTTGTAGAGGCGGCTGATAACACCAGTCGCCCCTACAAATCAATTTGTGGGGACGGTCTAGGAACCGCCCCTACAAATGCATGATTTATAGAAACAGTTTGGTAAGGGCGGCTGCCCAAACCGCCCCTACAAACCCTCTAAAACCGCCCCTACAAACCCTGTGTGGCGTAGAGATCATTAATTCATTATGGTCCGTTATTAAATTAATTTGGAATGAAACATTCCTTACTATATGATCATGTATATATGTAAATTCCAGCACTTATAGGCATATTGTTTTGAAGGGTATGCCTGTGCTTGGCTATCTATTTTGGACACGTCAGATAACTGGAAATAGGCAGGTGGCTATGGTCCCAAGTTTGCTAACAACCTAGCATGGAAACCCAGGCCTTCATACTATTTATTCTCAAAGGCGATCTCTGATTTCAGAAAAATATACAGTACCATGTGTATCCATTGGCCACAAAGTATAAAACAAATTTATAATATTTGTGCGGCTTATTTGATAGGTCTCTTGTTTGACATAAATTTGTCTAAACTTGTGACAACTTATTTTTTCACTCCTTTTATTTTACATATGGTATCTGTATAGTCTTAACAAAATGCACTTGAGCTGCAGGTTGTTACTGCTGAGAAAATTACTGTACAAGCTGGGTGCTTGGAGGGAGCTGCAAAACGCAGCATTTCAGAAGAAAAAGTATCCATTTTTCAGGGCAGTAGATAAACATGGTCAGATGTATGCAGGTATATGTGATTCTTTCTGAAACATTCTGAATTTCTGATATAGTATTAAATCGACATTATTCATGGGTGGCTTGTTTCACTTAAAACAACTTGATAAGTAGGATAAATAACAACTATTAACTGATTTTAAAATATGCCAATGCCTACTGCCTTCTCTTCAGGCTTCTTAGAGTCGAGGGTACCCTCGGCCAGCGGCTCCCTCGCCGCCAGCCTCGCCGCCCACCATACCACTCCACCCTCCGCTAATCCCAACTGAAGGGCAAGCTTTGACTCGTCGCCGCCACCACCTGCAGCCCAGGGCAACCGGATGTTCAGCACCGCCCGCTCAGCGGCGACCGACCGCCTCGCTGGCCGCCGATCAAACCAGCACCACGCCTCGCTCGCCGCCGGTTGAACCGCCACACCACCGTTGAGCCAGCCACCGCCGCCGGGCCCCTCCCCTTTCCAAGGATGCTGCTGGCCATGGAGCCCCCGGACACCCAAACCCCTAACCCCAAAACCCTAATGCCAGCGAGCTCGTCTTCGGCGACGACGGCAAAGGAGAGGAAGGCAAGGGTCATGAGGTTGTGTTTGGCTCATGGGCTTCGGGGACACGCGCTCCACGCGACTGGTCGCCCATTAGAGTTTGCGAATCAGCAATCATGGATCACCAAGGTGTAGGTGTCGGGCTTTCGTGGCCAAGACCAGTGTTCTGACTCTATCCATATCAAAATTGTCACCAATCATGGATTACCATTTTGGCTGCATGCGACGTTATTTCGCAATCAAATCATGACATGAAAGGGGCAAATAAATATCCAACAAACTAACAAGTAGCCAAAGAAAAGAACATGCGCTCCAGATATTTTAAGAACTTGACAACCTAGATATTTTTTAGTAGCTATATCCATGGTTCATATCATCGTACGTACATGCGCTCCAGATATTTTAAGAACTTGACAACCTAGATATTTTTTAGTAGCTATATCCATGGTTCATATCATCGTACGTACATGCGCTCCAGATATTTTAAGAACAAGCATTTTCTGCAGTGCACACAACACTCTTCACTCGACCAGGAAGCAGGAAGAACTAACCATGGCGGCTCTTCACTTTGTGCACGTAGTATACCAGTTCATGCTGGCGGCCGCTACGCCTCTAGTAGCACAACGGCCATTTTGGTTCGTCGTCGTGCCTCTCATCGTAGTGCTGCTGCCTGTCATCTGCCAACGCCTCCTCCACTGTCGTCGTCCCAACGCCGGCGAAAGCAGGAAGCACTCATCGAAGCCTCTCCTTCCGTCGCCTACGCGGAGGTTGCCAGTCATCGGCCACCTGCACCTCGTCGGCGACCTCCCGCACGTCTCCCTCCGGGACCTCGCCACAAAGCACGACCGTGGCGGTGGTCTCATGCTCCTCCAACTCGGCACCGTCCCGAACCTCGTTGTCTCCTCCCCTCGCGCGGCGCAGGTCGTCCTGAGCACGTACGACCACGTCTTCGCGTCACGGCCGACGTCCAAGGTCTTCCACAACTTCCTGTACGGGTCGTCGACCATAGGCTTCGGAGCCTACGGCGAGCACTGGCGCAAGGTCAGGAAGCTTGTCACCACGCACCTCTTCGCCGTCAAGAAGGTGAACTCGTTTTGCCATGCTCGCCAAGAGGAGGTAACAGCTTTTTTTTGGTAGCTTATTATTAGAGTCTGTCTATAGAACGTGTTTTGGCTGCCCAGGACACCCGATTTTCTTCTTGTATTCTTCCTCCTCCTAACGCGCCGCCGCCGCCAACCGCCCACCGCCCCGCCACGGCATGGTAGGGTCTTGCCGGAGCTCCGCGCGGCCGTGGCCATAGCTGTGGAGCTACGAAGAGACCCTACCGCGGCCGTGGCGACCTCCTTCTTCCTCTTCCCCGTCGCCCTCTTGGCCATGGTCGCCCCGCCCTATCCTGGCCCAACCGCCTCCTCCATTACCCACTACGGCGGCGTCACCATCGCCTTGCCGCCGTCTCTCCCGTCCCCATCGCTTGGCCTGCCTGCCTTCCCAATAATTTCTTCTAAGGCCACTAGATTTGGAGCACTAGATTTGGAGAAGAATAGAAGGAGAGGAAGAGAAGAGAGAAGAATGAGTGTTGGAACACTCGAGTGAGATGTATACTTTCAGTATTAGTAGGGGATGAAAGATAATGCAAGAATTGCTATGTAATAATGTTTCCATCGTTTTGTTACATATACATATACTAGGTGCGCCTAGTGATGGCCAAGCTGAAGAAGGCCATGGCTACAGGCATGGCAGTGGACATGAGTGAGACGATGAACACGTTCGCCAACGACATCATGTGCTGTGTGGTCTCGGGCAAGTTCTTCAGGGAAGACGGCCGGAACAAGACCTTCCGGGAGCTGATTGAGATGAACTCTGCCTTGTATGCAGGGTTTAGCCTAGAAAACTACTTCCCACGGCTTCTGAATTCGCTAGGTATCTTCACCAGGTTTGTGAGCAGAACGGTGGACAAGACGCACGAAAGATGGGATGAGGTGCTTGAAAATATCATAAGTGACCATGAGAGGCGAAGCTTCAACTATGGCCGTGGCGACAGAGCTGGGCAAGAAGAGGGTGCAGACTTCGTTGATGTGATGCTCTCTGTTCAGCAAGAGTACGGTATCACCAGAGACCATATCAAGGCTGTCTTGATGGTGAATAACAAGCTACCCATATTAGCATTTCCTTTAGAGAACAAAAAATAGATCTATCCTATATTGTGTCCTTTTCGATTGACTTATCCTAAATGACATGTTCTGCTTGGTCCAGGACATGTTCGATGCGGGCACGGTCACGTCATCCTTGGTCCTGGATCTTGCCATGGCTGAGCTCATGCGCCACCCTCATATCATGACCAAGCAAAGGTCAAGGAAGAGGACCTAGCAAGCATGGCCTATCTGACTGCCGTGATGAAGGAGACGCTAAGGTTACACCCACCTGCTCCATTGCTCCTGCCTCACAAGTCCATGGTGGACTGTGACATCGATGGGTATACAATCCCCTCGGGAACTCGAGTCATCATCAACGCTTGGGCTGTCTGTAGACATCCAGAGTCATGGGAGAAAGCGGAGGAGTTCATGCCAGACAGGTTCATGGACGGTGGTAGCGCCGCGACCATTGACTTGAAGGGAAATGATTTTCAGTTCATACCGTTTGGAGCTGGTCGAAGGATGTGCCCTGGCATGAACTTTGGGTTGGCCACTGTTGAGATCATGCTGGCAAACCTCATGTACTGTTTTGATTGGGGGCTGCCGGCTGGTATGGACAAGGAGGATATTGATATGACAGAGGTTTTTGGATTGACAGTTCACCGAAAGGAGAAGCTCATGGTCGTTCCCAAACTACCTGGTACCGCTAGCTATGCATAATCTGAGGCAGGATGCTCTGTAAAAGATATGCCTAGTATGATTTTTGAATGTACGGCCTGCATGTGAATTTGTGTACCTGTTGTATGTATTTTGCGGGGTTACCTAGTTGTATGCATAGTCAAGAAAAAAAGTTGTATGCACATATGTATTGCAAGCATGTCCCTTCAAATATATATGAAGCCACAGGTATGGATTGTTCAAAGTTTGTGAACAATATATTTTTACATAAAGGAAGCTTCTATGAACATCAAGATCATACAACCATTCTAAAAGTACCCTGGTCTCTCCAGAACTAAGATGATGTCTACAGCTTTAGCATAAATTAAGGTAACACACCAAAAATAAAAAGGCAAACAGGTAGTGCTAAGAAGGCTAATGCCGGCAACCTGTTCCTTACTCCATGTCATACACAACCTGTGTGATGTCCAGAAATATCCAACTCTTCATATAACACAAAGCCCATATGATGATTCAGAGACATTCATGGGCTCTCCTCACTAGTACAGAGATATCTTCCATTAACACCTCATTTTTTTTCACTGGCCACAGAGTAAAAGCATGTGTGCTACTACGGAAAGAGCCCTTATAGATTCGGACTGCTTTCATAACAAGTAACAATTTTTCCTTTCTAACAAAATCTTAATCTATTTTATCTAAGAAATACTCAATTTATTTACCTACTTTTTCTGGCTTTCCTATTTTATTATGGATCCCCTTGGATATCGGGAGATCTAAGGGTGGTGACGGCGCTACCCCCTGGCCGCGCGGCTCCTTGCCCTGCACTGGGCGCCTCTAGCGTCTGGCCGAGGTAGGGTCCCGGCCTCCCGCCGGCCCGCTGAGCCCATCTTGTGGGGGGGGGAAGGGGCAGTTAGTCACATGACATCTCCCCGTTCTCCGCACAGCACGTCCTCGCATTGTATTCTTGCTTGGTCGATGATGCTGCTTGGGTAAGAAAGCTACTCCAAAGGTTGCCACCTCCATGCTGAAGATGAAGCGCCCCAGCTTGTTCTCCGTGTGGAAGATAATGAGCTTGGAGTAGGATTGGAGGTTGTTGATGTGGCCGAAGACGGATTAGTAGCGTGTTCCCATGGCCCATGTCAGCTCCTGTACGTCTCCATTGGCGTTGAGGACGAAATGGCATCTTCCAAAGTTGTAGTGTATGTTGAAGTAGCCGTTCTCCGCGAAGAGGAGTGTTGGAGTTGTTGTAGCGTGGAAGCCTTCGGTGATGAAGTGCCGGGTCATTGTTCGCCCAATGGCAAAGAGGAAATCCAGCGAGTTCGGCCATGGTAGTGATGGTGCCAGCAGGTAGAAGTACCTGTTGAAGTCGTTGATGATTCCTTGGTAAAGTGACGAAGCTAGTTCCGCGGTGCCGCCTATGCTGGTGTTAGCGATGATGCTGTCCGATGGAGGTGCTCGTAGCTGCTGATGTGGCACCATGGCTCCCACCTGTATTTCTTCTTGTTGCATGACGAGTCGTTGCAGCGCCATAGCTGCGAGGTATTGTAGAGAGTCGATGTAGCTATGGGGGTCGGTGTTGTCTGATGTTGGGGCTGATTCTCTCCGGTGAACCGCCAGTGTTCCATGGATGTTGATAACAGGGCAGGGTTCGCCTTCACCCATTAGTAATATCTATGTATGTGGGGGTATATTGTAGCTGGGTACCTAGGTTGTTTCGGAGCTGGTGAGGTGTAGTTGCCATGTGCTGAAGGCGTTGCTTGTCGTTACGCCAGTGCTGTTCCGATATTGAAGGCTGTGTAACTACTCTCTTTGACGCAGATCTCCTTTGCATCGAAGTTTCTGTGGTTCGGCTCAAGTTGGTCCAACCATGGAGTGCCGTGTGTGACATCTGTGTTGTACACATCCACTGAAAGGGCCAAAATCTGTAGTTTTTTGCATGGCGGAACTTTTTCTGCCCTCTTTTTGTCATTGTATGTTGATGGCTGGAGTCCAGATGTTATTGTCTTACAGAAGGTGCTGCCGACGAGTATGGTTGCATTCAACACGAGTATGGTTGCATTCAGCACGTTGTCAGTTTGAGCGCCTGTAGATCTATCCTTGTGGGGCGTCTCCTGCTGCTCTTGTGCTAGGCCAATCAAAATTTCTGTTGTCCTGCTGCTCCTTGTTGAGGTGATTCTGACTAAAGTCTTCTTCAGATCTGTTCTCGGGTGGTGAGGTCGTAACATTGTCAACGGTATTACCTCCTCCTCTGGTTTTGTGACGAACAGACCATTCGTCACCTTTCCCTTGATTTTAGGATTTCCCCAAAATTTTGAGCTATTTAATTTTGTATTGGGGGAAAGTATGCTCTGCCTTTTTCATGGTCATGAATTTCTTGGCAGCAATCTCTCGTTTCTGTTTTGCCTTGGTTGTCGTGTTGACGTTGGTATCCATCTCAGATCCTCCATGTACCAAATCGTTCAGGGAGAGTGTCAGAGTTAGCGTTGTGGTGCTGTATGCTGTCCATGAGTTTGGTGGCGTCGGTGCTGGGCACCCCGGATTGCCTGATGTGTACCCGTCGTTGACGATTTTGCAGGCGTCACTTTCTCCTGAAGGTATCTGAACTTTGGGCATGATCGGTGCGTCTGGTGTTTGGATTTCTGGCTGAATTCGATCTGCTGTCGACGGGGAGAGCAGAAGAGGTAGCGTTGCTGATGGGGATGGGGATCCCGATCTTCCGTCAGGATCAAGATAACTATCGATTTGGTCGAAGAGCGACACATCGATCCGGCTTCATATCACAAAGACCCGAACCCTACAATCTTAGCACCATATCTCCTCTGGTTATCAACCGTGTCACAATCCGGTTGACCTCGCCGAGAAGGCTAATCCCTGCTGCGAATCAAAGAACACAAGTAAGAATAAGACAACATGCAACTCAAGTATAGTGACAATATTTGCAGATTTATGATTAAGATCTCGAATATGGGGTTTCACAAACCAATAATGGCAACTGTTCAAAGATAGATTGATCTAAAGCAAAACCCAAACCCTAACGCAGACGACGGCTACTGATTATATAGCCTAAGGGGCGTCATGGACCCCTCTTCACGTCTATAAGGTGTCCCAACACGTTACAAGCCCAACGGCCCAACAGACGGCGACGCAGCGCCCTGACAGATTCTGGATGTCAAATTGTTTCGATGATTCCCGTTGATTCTGATGGAATTTTTATGTGGTACCACTTCCATTAGTTACCACATCAAATTATCTTTCCATCCATATGTGGATCATCGAAAATGGAGTCCATATGCAACCTGGGCGTCCGTTTTACTACACACTGCTCCTTGACTTCAAGATGGACTTGAACTTGACTTGGGTTGGGTCTCCAACTTGGCTTGGACGTCCTTGCTTGGCTCCTAAGGTGGTGGCCAAGGAGGAGGATGCCCTTGGGCATCTCTTAGGTGTTCTCCATCTTCTTAGGGCATGCTCCAACTTGGGCCTAGGTCCCAATTGTGAATAACAAGCCCGCGACGACGTCGTAGCACCCGACAGAAACAGCGGAAGAATGTCTTGATGATTTCAAGACCTTGTCGACGTGATATTGAGGTGAGACCAGATCTATTTCAAAGCTTCCATCAAGTGCTCATGGACCTCAAACTCACTCTGGATGAAATAATTATGGCCTTCCCAATAGAGTGCTGTCGGGCTGTCGATGACCTGAAAGTTCAACTTTGATGGACTTGCATTTTGAGAGATATTTGTACCTACAATCAAATAATGACATGTATATGTGGAACCATGTGAATTGTACCAATAATCACTATGCAAATATAGGAATGAGCTCACCTTATAATCAATGATCATATCCGAAGGTGTCATGTCCTCATCATCGTTGCTGCAAGTTGTTCCTTCGGCTCGGCTTGGTAACGAACAGATTGTTCATCACCTGCTCGAAGATCTCAGGAATTTTTGACAATCTGGAGCATTCTACTTGGATGAAAAGCACGCCCAATTGTCTCCTTTGCACAGTTGGTTTCCTCCGCAAGATCCTTGGCGGCGATTTTGCGATCCTGATTTGCTGTAGTCGAGTAGATCTCCAAGACCCCATATTTGAATCTGTAGGGAGAAGGTCTGGGTTTGTTTCGGTGTCAAGCATGCTTGATGTTGACATTGTCGTTGCTTGCGCTCTTCCTTCTGGTGCAATTGTTACTCTTGCTGTGGTCGCCTCCGACTGAATTGGATCTATTGTCGATGGCGAGCTCTTGTCCAAGAGGGCGTTGGCCTTGGCAACAAATTCTTTCACCTCGCCGAATTGTTGGTTGTAGGTGGTTGCAAACTTGTGCACCTCCTTCTTCATCTCGTTGATCAAGGTGGTGGTGGCGATCGGGTCGATCTGGTCTCCGGATACCAGGTGTGATGGTCCATCCTGGGGGACCGGTTGGCGATGGCCTAGGAGAGGGGCGTCGGCACTGGCAGGCATGGGGGTGGCGACGTGGTCTAGCGGCGCCAGCGTGCTAGGGGAGAGGGGGCGCGCCCGGGCGCTGGGAGAAGGAGAGGGAGGGGGTGGTGACAGAGAGAGAAGGGATAGGAGAATAGATTATTTCTCTTGTTTAAGATTGAATGGTTAGAGGACCCCTTTATTTATAGTCCTTGGAGACTTGGCCCTTAAGCAATCTAATTTTACGGAAAGAGCCCTTATAAATTCGGACTGCTATCATAACAAGTAACTATTTATCCTTTTTAACAAAATCCTAATCTATTTTATCGAAGAAATACTCTATTTATTTTCCTACTTTTTCCGACTTTCCTATTTAATTATGGATCTCCTTGGATGTCGGGAGATCGAGGGTGGTGGGGGCGCTGCCCCCTGGCCGCGCACCTCCCTGCCCTGTGCGCGGTGCCTCTGGCATCTAGCCGAGGCTAGGTCCCGGGCTCCCGCAAACCCACTGAGCCCGTCATGGGGCCCCCAGTTATGCACATGACAGTGGCCAATTGGCCTTTAGTCTCAAACTGTCTATACAGCCCAATGCAAAACACAGTCCACGCCATCCCATACCACT